GCGGCCATCACTAGGAGGATGGAGGCCATCGCTAGTAGGTTGGATGTCATCGCTATTAGGTTGAGGTTGTGTTGGGGTGTTTTGCGACCACTCCACTAGTAGGTTGGAGGCCACGGCTGGCATCGCCACAGAGGGCGGTTGACACGGTGCCTGCGTGACTGGGCGGCATGTCTAAGCTTGAGATGTTGCACACGTACCTAGAAGCAATGACCTCCAACCTAGCGATGGCCTCCAACTAGGACCTAGATGCGAAGATATACTCAATTAACAGGCAATGAACAAGCAAAGAAGATTTGGAATGCAGCCCGGAGGTCCGCATGACCTCAACGCTGCTGCTTTTCATGCTTGGCTCCAGCAGGAGTGAGCTTTAGCGGCGAAGTGGTGCAGGTACTTGGTTCTGACGATTTCCAATTTGGATCAATTTGGTTCAATCTCATTGGCATCGGGGGGGGCCTATACGGTAACTTTGCCAACTCAAGTTTCTCACCCCGCCCCAATAGTCTACATTTTAATGAATACCAATGATGATACGATCACTCGCCATCACTCCTTCGTGTTGAGGGGACCGGAGAAAGGGCCACGGTTTTGGAAGTGTTCTTCAAGACTGCCAAGGATCAAAGATGCCGTTGGTAGTGGCGTTGGTCTTCCTTAGATTGGGAGAATCTTTAAAATGACTGAGTTTTGTGCCCCAAGACTGGCACATGTGTGTGACTACAGAGAGCAATTTGCAGCTATTTGGGGCTCTCAGCACTTACCAATGTTCATATCGTTGTGATTCAAGGTGATTCCTTTGAATGCCATTTGTGGCGCGATTTATTCTTGCGCTGATCGTGCCAGCCTGCTGTGGATCTCTTTGCAACCTCTCAGAGAGTGACGCGAAAGGTTTGGTGCAGATTCATGCCCAAAGGCTGGTGGATGACCCGTACTCGCGACAGTACGATCGGTTGCATCGACGCCATCGTTGCTTGGACATCACCTGAGTGGTTTCCTGGAGTCCGCGAAGTGGTCGTCGTTTTCGGGGGAAATCCTCGATTCCAAGCGCGATGGTTGTTTTATTTGTTTTCCATTGTGCCCTTTATTCAGAACAGATGTATAACAGATGTGTTTTGATAATTCATGTGCTTATTTTCTACTCGACAATCTTCCGCGTGTTCCTGTTTCTTCTTTGTGCGCTCCGTGGCTTTGCTTTCCATGCAACACCCTGAGCCACAGACGCTGTTGCATGAGGGAATGGGTGGAAGTAGCACCTCAGAAAGTAGAGGTGATACGGCTTGTGCCTGCATCCAGTCGCGTACAGTGCCATAGTGCCATAGTAAGTGTCCATTCGCTTGCTGGAGCTAAGATTCTTTAATGACCAGAGCGGATGTCGCATGCCTGAAATCCAGGTCGACAACACCGTCGGCAAGATCGGAGGTATGGACGACGGACAACGACCACCACGAGCACTTTGTTGCCGGATGTGATCAATCTTTTGAAGGCATTGGAGACCTCACGAGGCTATGGATGCTATGGCTGAGTTGGGTTGCTTGTTGCTTGGGACCATTGAGGTCTTTTGAAGGGCACGATGCTGGCAGTTAGATCATTTGGGAAGTCATCCTGGAATAGGCCGAATATGGCAACGCTGCCAAATGTATGGCTAACAGTACCCATCCCCCAAACACCAACATTGTTTGAGGATTGTACATGCAGTGGCTTTTTGTCATATTGCTTGGGACGGGGTACGACATATTACATCCGTTACATCCCTGACCTATTTTTCCTTCAACGTCTCCTCTCTTACTATATACTGTGTTCAGTACTGTGTTGAGCTGTGTTTTGGGTGCATTTTGGTCCAGGGACGAGTGCGCTACTAGTTTACTATGAATTCAAGATGAGACTTCCTCCACATCAATAGACTCAAAGCGCATGAGTTGAAATCCTGAAGTGAGGCACATGGCAGCCGAATATAGTTTTAAATACCTGCATTCACATGCATTGTGTACATTTGACCTTCACAAAGCCTCAACTGGCTGGTATGGCCGGCCTTCAGAAGACTTCGACTCAACAAAGGTCGAAGAGTATAGTTTACTATTATTTTGTCTTTTGAGTAGCCAGGTCAGATTTCAGGATAGGTGCTGGCTGGTTTTGGCGCACCCTGCGCAGGATCAAACAAACTTGATAGAAGCCACAACCCCAAATGCAAGGCACTGGCACCCCAGAAAAATGGAGCTCGTGCTTTATGCATACAGCAAGAAATGTGAGGAGGATAGGACACTCGGGTGTGGCACTCTTGTAGGATACTCTGAATGAATGACAGGGGTTGAGGTGCTGACATGTGCTTCAAGTTGCATGGTGGCAAGCTTAAAGTGCTGGGAGGGAAGTTAGAAGGTATTCCGATGATGATGATAACAGGCGGTGCTGTGAAAGTGCAAAAGGTGTTAGAGGCTGCGCGGTGGCCACTGCAAGCTAATGCTGAAATACGCTCTTACAGAGGCAAGCAATGATGTGCTGGCATCGCTACTAGGAGCAAAGGACGCTATACTAGGGGCTCCTGG